CCCCACCAGTAACAACCTACAGCAGCCCTCCTAGAACAAACCCTATTGCAATACAAAAACGAGCACTGGTTTTTTTTAACTCACAGCTTCATCCTCAACTTCTAGAGACTCCAGCCTACAAAAACATCTCCCTGCCTTGCTTTTTTTAAGCTTTTTAAACTTTGCTGCCTACGACCTGTACCATTAAAGACCTCTGGAACACTGTTGTTACCCTTAGGATGTTTTTTCCTGTCACAGGCAGTTATGTTTTTGCTCAAAAAAACACCTTCCTATCAAGACAAATATACTATTGTTGATATTCTCCTCCTATATGTTTAGATAGTCATGTGGCAATTTTTATCATGTTTTAATTGATGACAGAGTTCCTTTTAATGGGTTAATTTTTCAGCAGAGTAAGGAGGACACTTGTTTTGGTTTTCACTATTCAATGAAAACAAGTGTCCTACAGGCAAAGAGCTGCTGGAGATGAGATGTATGTCAATGTACACCCTACAGCAGTAATCCTGAGGTAAGTCACAAGCCATTTCAAAAACACCCCTGGAAATTCCTATGCAATTTAGTGTTGTTTACTGGCACCACACCCGCAAACCGTAACCCCCAAAATATTTCAGTACAAGTCCCTTTCACCTTTAACAAGTAATTTATCTCGCACAGACACCCTCCGAGTAGAGTCCGACGCCGGGTTGGACGCACGGGGTCCTCTGACACCATCATCCCGCTTCAGCTTGCTTGCCAGTGTTAGCATTCCTGCTGCTTCCACCTGGAACACAAAGGGAGAGCAAAGCCCATCACCAGAAACGAAGCACTGGGGGTGCAGTATGAAAACAACTCGCAGTTGTTGAATAAGGAACGAACTTCCATCACATTCTCAGCAGTCAAACACAGAAAACACTGCACGCAGCTCACACAACTGTGATTAAAGACGAGGATGGCTCAGAGAAAGATTTTGTTTGGGCTGTGAATACTGAAAGAGCTACAGTTTGTTAGGCCAAGGGGAAGCTCAGCTTTGCAGGAGAAAGGTCAGGCCTACATCAGTGTTTACAATGCAATTTCACTGCTTGACACTGCTCCTTCCTAAGAACTGCTGTGGAAATACCCCTGCCAGACAGTCTGCTACGGCCTCCTCATCCACACCTCCCAGGACAGTGTTCAGAGCCGCTCTTCAGCTGGCCAAAATATAAGAAATAACAAAGAGAAAGGGGAGGGATCACTGGAACTATTCTCTAACACTGGGAAGTGAGCTCTGAGGCAGCTCCCAGGACACAGAAAAAAGACTTAAGCTGCAAACAGTGCAATGATCCACGCAGCTGCACAACAGGAACTCTCCACAGTGCAAGAAGTTGCGAGACTCAATAACTGAAATGAAGATACAGTTTTGCTGTGTTACCCAGCCACTCTAGAAGATAACTGCACTGATAAATAATTACAATAAAAGGTGGACAGAATGCCAAAGTCATTAAACCAAAGCATCCAGTCTGTCATGGCTTCATACGTTTTGTAACTATTCTTAGTTGAAGGCAACTCATTCTTCTTAAGTTTGGCAAAACCAACATAATGCTGACAAGATCTAAACCCTTCAGGTCCCACCACCACTAAAATGGTAGGAGAAATGTTTATCCTTTAAATCATATTAATTAATTCAACCAAATAAAGGGGGAAAACTGCAAAAAGTCACGGTATAATCCTTACCTGGGTGTTGAGAAAGACATAATAGATAACTGAGCAAAAAGACTTAAAAAAAGGGAAACATATATTTCGCAATAGTCCCTAACAGTATGAAACTCTGGTGAGATCTACAAGGAGGTCAAGTTCTCTGGAGCTGACAAATGTGTGTGTCAGCTGCAAAATATATTTAAAAACAAAAGTAACGTTAGGGTGTAAATGTAAAATCCAGCTGGCTCAACTGAAACATACAGTAAGTTTTTTCATCCTGCTACCCCAGAGAAAGGAAGAATAAGCAGAGAACACAGACCTTTTTTTTCTTTGGAGGAGGGAAAACCAACAGCTGCTTAAAAAAAAAAGGGGGGGGGGAGTAGGGGAGTCTGGGAAGTACTGAACGGCGTTCTACATGAAAAGAAATAAATCTGTAAATTGCAGGCAACCTCTCCACTCCAAAAACCCCCATCGTTTAGGTGTCAATTCCAAATTTAATCAATTCCGATAGGCATTAAATGTCCAAATATCTTTATAGCTTGTCCCGGAAAACCGGGAAACCCAAGAGAAGCCTGATCACTGTGAAAAAGAAATCATTCTCATCAACTATACCCCAAATTCCGGTGGAGCACGGAAAGGAAGCTCCCAACAGTTCAAGCAAAGCTTCCCCGCTGCAGACCCCGGAGAGACAGGCCAGGGAGGGGAGACTGTGCTTATTTATAGGGAAGGGCGCGAGAGCCCCGGGAGTTCCCCAGCTCCGCCGGGAGCGGAGGCAGAGGCGGCCCGGGAGCCCCTCCGCAGAGGCAGGGGGATCGCTGGGTTCCGAGGGCCGGGAGAGCTGGGCCGGGGGACACAAGTGGGCCCCGAGGCCCGGCGGGCCGGGACCGCCCCGGGAGTTGTGGGGGCGCCGGGAGGGGCCAGGCCCGGGCGGGGAGGGCTGAGGGAAGGGGGACGGCTCGCACGTACCTGAGCGCGGCGTCAGGGCCCGGCTGCCGCGGCCAACACCATCCCCGGCGCCGGCCCGGGCAGGAGCGGCAGCTCCTTCGGACTCTTTCTTCCTCTTCCTCCTCCTCCTCTCCTTCTTCTCCCTCCCCTCCTCCTCCTCCCTCCCTCCCCCAGCGGAGATCTCGCGAGAGCGAGGGTAGGGCCGGGCAGTGCGCCCGCGGGGTTCTCGCGAGATTTGGCGGCGGTGGCCGCGGCGCGGGGCGGCCGCTGGCCGCCGGGAGGGCGGCGCCATGTTGGGTCGCCCCCTCAGGGGCAGCGGGAGCGGTGTCTCCCAGTGCCCGAGGGGAGTTGAGGTCTTCCGGCTGAGTTATGTGTCCCCAGGCTCAATTTTCTCACCTTTTGTAAGCAGAATCACAGAATCATCATCATCATCATCATGGCTAGGCTTCGCGAATGAAGATTTGGGATTTGGGATCACAGAATCAAATAGGTTGGAAAAAAAAAACCAAACCTGTGAGATGATCGAGTCCAACTTACGACCCAACACCACCGTGTCACCTAGACGTCCAGTCTTTCCTTAAAAACCTCCAGGGAATGGTGACTCCGCCGCCTCCCTGGGCAGCCCATTCCAATACATTCCATTATTTTACAGTCCCCTCATAGAGCTGTGGAAAAGGGGGTGATTCAGTTACAATATAAATTACACTGAGTCTGTGGCAAATAGCAACACAGCAAGAAGGGAAAAAAACCAACAATTGTCAGGGTGGTTTCACAAGTGGAACATAACCAGGCTTGCTGCAACCATTGCCTTAGTGCCTGCTTAAATTAATAGACTATTTGTGCATTCCAGCAGCAGATTAGTGGAAGCAATAGTGAATCAAATGGGAGCAACATTGAGTCAGATGAAATCTCTGTAAAAAAAGGATCATAAGAGCGCATTTAGTAATTGAGAGTGAATTACCTGGGTATCATAAATAGACCAACCAAAATCTTTAGAAACCTAAACAATTGTGTTAGATCAGCCCCCTCCACCTGTAAAATAGGTGCATAAAGTTAAATTCTTCCATTTGGTGGCTTCCATTAAATAAGGGAACCAGGCATGAAAGCAGCACCCAGAAAGTGTGATAAGGCAAAGCTGGAGACTGAACACAAGGAACGTTTGGCTGACAGCTGTTGAAATACTCACTGTGTCCTAAACCTTCACTGGAATAATACCAACACCTCCTCCCCAAAAAGAAATTGGAATTTTGCTGACTGAAATCTAGTTAAACCAGCACAGAACCCGTACTCAGAGGCCTTAAATTGGCTTAGTGCTCTGACTCCCCAGTATTTCCCTCCTGGCACTCCTTCTGTGAGTCTGCAGGGAAAGCTAAAGTGCTTCTTGCCCACCTCCAGTCACCCTCCAGGAAAAACAGAGGACTTACCCTGAGCTACAAGAAGCTGGCAGGGGCATTAGGCTAATGCTGGCCAGCTGCATTTCCCAGCTGTCCCCACCACTCCTGCTCCCAGCTCCTGAGGAGCCTGGCTGCCCCATTGCTACAGCCTACAGCCTTTGCCTTGCAAAAGGAACAATGCCTTGATAGATACCTCAGTGAGAGCAGGACAACCTAAATACATCTATTTTGGAGGATGAATAAACACCATCTTGCCTCCTTAGGCTTTTCTCTCCAGATCCATGTAATGTTTGGCTATCATGGCACAGCACTTTAGTCCAGAAATGTTCTAGAAACAACCTCCCCTGCCAGATGTTGACTATACATAGGCTCCAGAGAAAGGGATTTCTTGCAAGACTTCAAAACCAAGGGGTCAAATAGCGAGCAGGGTCAGGGGATTGGATCCCAAACAGGCACTGATGGCATCTGCCTGTTCCTGGGAATCTGTGGCCACACAGGCAAAGCACTGGTGCAGCTGTTTTTGAGAGATTAGCTGTGCCTTGCTGTAACCAAATCCAGGAGTCCATGTGCAATTCCAGACACACCTCTGGGGCTTTCCCTGCCTGTCTGTAGTGTTGGCCCAAGGGCATTTCCCTCCTGATGGGTTTTCATTGCCTCAGGTGCTGCTCCTGTCATCAGGTGGCAGCAGATGGGGCGTGGCCAGGAGATAAAATCTACTAAAGCTCCCCAAAGAGCCCAACATCCAGGCCTTTCTCCCTCCCTGTCCCCAAATTAAATGGAATGAGGTTTCATTTGGACAATGTCCTTGCAAGGATGTGTGTGCGATACCTCTGCTGTTGTATTACAGCAAAGCATAGTAAAAAATGTGATGGCAGCTTGTCTACATATAGTATCTGTTTTATTAAATGGCATACAATAAAATAATTTATACAGGAAAATATGCATAATATACTCTGTAATAAATAGCAGGTGAAAAAATAGATTTCCTTAAAAACATTTTGAAAACTAGCAAAACAAAGATATCCAATAAATACGTTCATTGCCATTCTTTCAGGAGGGGCATTTCTTCAGCTCCTCCTGAGCCATTTCTAAGCACACAATAAGCCCCAATAATTTAAAAGACTGTGAAAAAAAATTGTTCCCTGAGCTCACATGAGTAAGAAAAAGGCTTAAGTACAGTCCAGCAATGCAATAGCAGTTGTTTTTCCCGGTCCTCGTGTGTCCTTTGGGGCCGGTGGCGGGGGCTAAGAGCATTGCTCCTGGAGGGCAGCGCAGTTCAGGTCTTCCAGCACTTCAAAGACGTGGCGGACAGCGTAGTCCTCCAGGCAGCCGGTGTTCTCGTGCGGCGGGGACAGCGCCTGCGTTAGCAATGGGGTCAGGGTGCAGCCGTGCGGGTCACTGACACCCCGAGACCCTCTGGCCCCGCTGACCCAACTTACCATATTCATGGCCACCTGCAGGTTCTGCAGCCACTGGCTCAGTTCCCCAGAGGGCTGATGCGAGGGAGCCACCTGCAAGGGAAATGGCAGGGTAAGGACCAGCAATGCCCCGCAGTGCTGCCGACAACGCCAGGGCCACGGAGCTGGCACGGGGTGGGGGGCTCGGGGGGCACTCACACAGCCCCGCAAATCCTCACGGGCTTGGGCGAGGAAGGCCAGGGGCCGCTGGCGCATCTTGGTGAAGCCGGGGTGGGTGGAGAGCTGCAGCATCGTGATGGTGAAGTTCAGCTCGGCTTCCACCAGCACCACTCGGTCGGGCACCTGTGGCAGGAGCGTGTGGTTAGGGACCAAAGAGCCAGGGCTGGAGGAGGGGAGTCTCAAAGACCTGCCTGGGGTGCAGGTGAGGGTGGGACTGGCTGAGAAGAGAGCTGTGCCCCCTTGTCACAGCATCACCTTGCTCTTACCGACAGGTGTGCCGACATCCACTTCCGATCCAAGAGCCCGCTGTCGCAGTTGCGGCCCGGCTGCCTGATGTTGCGCTGCAGGCACAAACCAAGAGAGAGACTGAACAACTGTCATTGTGACTTCTGGCGATGTTGTGCAACCCCGCCAGCCATGTGGTTTGAAACTGGGACAAAATTTGGCCCAGCATCCTTCATGTCCCCAAACTCCCATGGAAAACATCCTCCTCCTCCCCAGACTGCTGCAGAAAACATCCAGTTTGTCACTCAGGTCTCAAATTCAGCATCTCCTCTGCCTTGCCCCCCCTCCCCAGCCCACAGCCCCCATTGCCAGCGATACTCACAAACTCCTTCTGCATCTTCTTCACAGCCTTCTTCTCATCGAACGTGACTTGCTTGTACTTGAACAGGCTGCAGCCCTTCCTCAGGGTGTTGTGGGGAAAGGCAGCCCCCAGGCTGACCCCCAGCACCAGCACAAGCAGTGAGGTGAGGCGGAGACACAGCATTTTGTTGATGAGAGCTCGATGGTGAGCAGTGGGTTATGATGGGGTAAGGAGGCTGCGGTGCAAGATGCCAGAGAGGATGAAACGGAGGAGTCCGGGGAGGATTTGCTAAACTCCTGATGCAGAGGTGCCTGACAGGTGCCACAGGTGGCTCTCTCAGCTGTGGAGATGCTGGGCTGTCCTGGGGAGCTTCTTTCCTTGCTCTGCTCTGCTGGCTGTGGATACCTTGCTGCCCCATCTCCCCGGCTTTTTATTCCACCTGCCCGGTGAGACTGCTTTCACTTTGCAGGAAAATCCACGGCCTGGCCGCTCTGGAAACAGGAAAGCGAAAGCTGCGGCGGGAATCCCGCCTCCGTTACTTGCGCTGCTGCCTCCAGCCCTGCCGCCTGCTCCGCCTCGACAGGGCGAGCGCACCGGCGATGAGGGATGCTCGGGCTGCCTCCAGCACACGCCCTCCGAGGGGGCTGAGTGGGGGGACGCCGCTGCCACGCCGAGTGGCACAGAGGTGCTGGCAAGTGCGGGGACACCGGGCACGACCCAGGCCCACCCCACGCTGAGAGCTGCGGGAGAGCCCAGGCACGCAGCCCCGCGGGGACAGCAGACTCGGGGTGGCCGGGAGGGTTACAGTGCCTCCCGAGTGGCAGCAGGAGTCCATGCCTCGGTTTCCCTATAGAAAGGGTCGTGGCAGGGAGGGGGGGAAAGCAGCAGCAGGGAGCAGGCACTGCACGGCACAGGCTGCAGGCATGAGCTCTATGTGTTATCCTGGGGGACCAGGCTTGCCACCAAAGCAGGGAAAAGGGTGAAAGCAGAAGCACTTCCACCTAACGTTTTCCAGGTGGGACACAGAGTTATGAAGGGAGGCTGCCAGAAATGAGCAGGGCTGCCACCCTACAAGCCGCTGGGATTAGCTGGGTTTCTCTCCCTGTCCAGCCTGGAAACACAAATGTGGTGTATTGACATCCCTCCAGTGACAGCGGGAATGGTGCCCCCGTTCAGCCAATTGTCCTTCTCTCAAGGTAACCTCCTGCAATCGCTGCTGGGCTTTTAGTTTCATGTGTTCATCAAGCATTAAATACAGAAAATTAGGGCAATACCTGGATCTAAAAAGCCAAGACAGTAAGGCAGCAACAGGCATAAATGCACTTTGCAGTGTCTCGCACAGTGGCCATACACAGGAAAACACTGCTCCAGAAGGACTTGACTTTTAGTGTTCGCATTTGGAAATAAACTGCTGATTTCAGAGGCCAAGAGAACAAGAAAAGTTCTTGAGCAAGCCCGTGGAAAGATACACCTATGAGTGGGCAGAGTGGCATGGACGTGGTCATGGAGGTGGACTGGGATCTCTGGACATCATCCAGTCCAGTCCTTGCTCTGGTAGGGTCAGCCAGCATGGGTTCCCCAGGACTGTGTCCAGTTTTAAATATCTCAAAGGATGGAGTGGTGACTCCACAGCCTCTCTGTGAGTGTTCTTTTGCGTTCAGATGCATTTTCACGTTTCAGATTGTAGCTTTTTTCTGCTATGCTGTCAGTAGGCACCACCAAGAGTCCCTAAGCCTCCTTTCTCAGCCTTTCCTCATAGGAGAGATGTTCCTGTCCATCATCTTCATGACACTGATTCAACTCTGATATCCAGTGTCTGCCACATCCCTCTCTCCCTGAGGAGCCCAAACCTGGACCCAGCACTCCAGGGGTGGCCTCACCAGTGCTGAGTAGAAGGGAAGGATCACTTGTCTCAGCCTCCTGGAAACACTCCTCTAAGTGCAGCTCCAGATACCATTCATTTCTTTGCCACAAGGACATGTTTCTGGCTCATGTTCAACCTGATGCCCACCAGGACCCCCAGGTCCTTTTCTGCCATGCTGGTTTCTATCTGGGCAGCCCCCAGCACGTCCTGCTGCCTGGGGCTGTTCCTCCTCAGGTGCCGGACTTAGCCCTTTCCCTGGTTGAATTTCAGGAGGTTCCATCAGCCCACTTCTCCAGCTTGTCAAGGTCCCTGTGGACAGCAGCATGACTCTCTGCTGTCATCCACTTCTCCCAGTTTGGTGTTACCACAAAACTTGGTATGCCCAGGGTACCCTCTCCCTCATTGTCCAGATAATTTCTGAAGAGGCAGAGCAGGACCAGCTGTTGACTCACAAGGTCCATCCAGCCCTTCTTGAGCCCTTCCTCTGCTCCAGCAGTATCTCAGATTACTCAGGTCTTTCCTGGAAAACCATGATGGAAATAAAGAGGAGGAGAGGGCAGCATGGATGGGACAGTGACTATTTCCACCTTGACCAAGCTGGATGCAGATACAGCTTGGAGAAGAGCCAGGACAGCAAAAGACGGTGGTAAAAGCGTGGCGGGCACAGGTCTTCCAGCCACAGATACGGCCACAGGACCAGGCTCCCATGCCAGCCTCCCCCCTGGTAGCAGGGTGGGTAAGGCCAGTAATTAAAAGCCTGAGCCCTGGGCTTGGCTCCTTTGCCTGCCCTCTCACTAAACAGGACAACAGCTCTGTGTTTCCCTTCTCTCCCATTAAAGAAAACCACAGACTTACAAGAATAATTTTTATTCAATGCAACAAAGTCCATGATTGATACAGCTTTGAAATAAAAGCCCAAAGCAGCATAAATAATGCCATGTATGTTGCTCAAGCGAGGCACAGCTCAGCTGGAATAGATAGCACCTCACCAGAAAATCCCAGCAGTTGTGAAAAAGAAATGTGTCCCCCAATGAGAGAGGGGTGATCCACCATGAACCACTGTCCCACACCACAGATCTCTGCCGAGACACTCTTGGGTCACCCATCTGGTCACAGCAGCATCACAGCCCCGTGGGACCCAGCTTTGGCTCCTGTTTCCCATCACTGTGGCTTTTATGTCCCAGGTGTCATTTCTGTTTGAAGAAGTAAAGCGAAACCTCATGTCTTCACACACGCAAAAGGAAATTCAGAGGCACCAAAGAAAAGTGAAAGCTGGAGGGTGAAGCCGGGCCGTGAGCATGGCCCTTGGCCCTCAGGGTGGATGGGATGGAGGGGTGAGGATCCCTCGTAGGTGCCTTGCTCAGGTAGTTGTGCCACACTCGCCTGCGGCCACAGCCAAACCCCCGGGTGCCTGGCTGAACAGAATCAAGGGATTTTTCCATCCTGGGCCTGGGCATGTGCCTCACACGGTGATGGTGATGCCATGCTCCACCATATCACAGTCTAGCCAGCAAGGCCTGGCTGAATTCACCACGGCTCCTCCAAACCATGCCACTGGCAGCTCCTGCCATGGCAGAGGAGGGTCCTCCAAGGCCAGCATGGGCTGGGGACACCACACAGTGCCTAGCAGGGTCTGCAGGACACTGGGGATCCACCACAGCCATCGCTCCAGCCCCGGCTGCAGACAGCGCTGTGCCAGGAGAGCGGCACAGAGGGTGATGGTGGAACCCCCTTGGATTCACATGGCCCAGCAGGCTGGAGCCACTTGAACTTGCTTAGAGCAAGAAATCCCAGGTGGGTGGGAAGTTCGGAAGTTCCATGTGGGAGAAGGAAAGTGAAACATGACTGAGGACAGGTGAGGTAATTGCATCAGGAGAGGTAATTGCTCCATGGTGACTCATCAGCCGCTACGTGGCACAACGTGGGAAAGTCTTGACCACAGGCAATGCCACTGGAGTGGGTAAGGATGAGCCCAGTAAGGCTCCTTCCTGACCCCTTTTGTAGCCAGCAGGCTTGTCTGGGAGGAATTGGCTCCTGCTAAAGTCACTGGTCTGGGAAAAGAAGGTAGAAGGGACAAAAACTGTGCCCCAAAAAAGCCAGCTTTAAAAATAAATGTGTGGGAGACCTGCCCAGGGCCTGATGGTGCTGGGACAGGGGACATCAGGTGGGCTTCACTTGGCAGCCATTGCCTGACCTGTCCCTGCCAGCCCAGGGTGTCAGTGCCACCAAAGTGCCCCTTGCCCAGCTACATGCCCCAGAACCCTTCAGCACCTCTCCACACGTGAGCTGTCACCACTGTGATGGTTTGTGCTGCTCCGCTGCCGACACCGCGCCCGAACACGGTGGTGATGCAACCCCTGGTGTCACAGTACAGCCTGGCACCTGCTGCATAACCCTGGGGATGCACAGAGGGAAGGGCCGGGAATTACTGAGTTAATTATTGAGCAGACTTAATACGAACTTGGTTTAAATTTAAAATGAGGAAAAAGCCCAAACACTTTTTCACCAGAACCTTTGCTCCAGCACTGTAGGGACATAGGGTGTTCCCTCCTGGGGGTTCCCTCCCTGCCTTGGCTGTGGGGATGCCCCTCTCCAGAACAAGCCCTGCCAGCAGAGCTGGGGCTGCCCTGGCCCAGGCAGCCAGTCAGGCCACTGGCACCCCAGTAGCAGTGTCACCCTGGGAAGAGAGACCTCTTGTGCACCCTCAGGAGATGACAAGCCACCAGCCCCGTCCTCACCTGGCAAGGGAGGCCTGATGGCTGCTGCTCACCCAAACCCATCCTGCACCTGCGCAGCCTCTCCCCTGGTGACAGCAGCAGGGCTGGATCCAGCATCACTGCTGCAGCACATGGCCATGGACAGAGAGACCAACCTCATATCCATGATGGGCTTCCCACCCCAGAGCTGGCCTCTCAGGGCCCCACCACCCTCCTGGGGGCCAAACCTCTGCTCCACACCCTGGGCAAGCTGAGCCAGGGCTCAGTGACCCCAGGGGAAACATGCCCAGGGTCCAGCACCTCTGCCAAGTTGAGGGGGCTCAGTCAGGACCACACCTGAGAGCGCAAGACCACAGTGGAAGCACCTCCAGGCCCTCTAAGCCCCTCTCCAGGTGTGCTCTCTGGGGCAGGGAGCAGATGTGCCACTTTTACTTTGGTGCATTGTTAAGAAAGGCAGAACAGAGTGAGGGCACTGCCCTCCCCATAGTGCCAGGGCAGCCTTCTTGCCATGGGCAGAAATTACAGGAAAGGGAACAGTCCTCACAGAGGCTGTGCCTTAACTTGAAATATGCAGAAAGCAAACAGGAGGGGACCTGTGCTGG